TGACAGAGGGCAAATATCTAGAATGTATAAAGAACTCAAGAAGTTAAACACCAACAAAACAAGTAATCCAATTAAAAATTGGAGTACAGAGCTAAACAGAATTCTCAACAAAGGAATATCGAATGGCAGAGAAACAGTTAAACAAATGCTCACCGTCCTTAGTCATCTGAGAAATGGAAGTCAAAACGACCCTGAGATTCTACCTCACACTCATCAGAATGGCTAAATCAAAAATTCAAGGGATGATGCATGCTGGAGAGGTTATGGAGAAAGGGGAACCCTTCTCTGTTGCTGATGGGAATGTAACCTTGTACACCACTTTGGAAATCAATCTTGTGCTTTCTCAGAAAATTATGAATAGTGCTACCTCAAGATCCAGCTGTACCACTCCTCAGCTAAGAATTCTTAAAGGACCAGTTGACTAGCAACTGGGGATCCTTTAAAAGGGCCAGGTACACAAGATAAATCACACTACAAGTTACATACCCACACCACACACATAGGCAAGAGGGTTAGGTATGTGGTAGGCTGTATGATCTAGATTTGTTCAACAATGTTTGCATAGTGACAAAATTGCCTAAGGATATATAACTGAGACCATTGCTATCAATTGGCAATGCCTGACTGTGTGTATTGTTAACACTGGATTTCAAATTGTCTATAACCTCTTGTCAAAGAGGGTAAGAAAGAAGTAGAAGTACAAGTTATAGTAAATAGTAAGTTAGGAAAAGGTTGTCCTTGAAGACTTTTATCTATTTCCTACACTGATTCTCCAAGGTTTAGCAGGAAGAGTTCCTACAAAATTTGAATGCATATTAGTGTCCATAAAATTTTTTCTTGCTTTTTTGACATTTTGTTTCAATCATAAACAAGCTGTCTCATAAATTAGTTGAGACCTACGAGCTTTAAGTACAAAAGAAAGGTAACTTGGTTTTAATATATTGAGTATTAGCTTAGAATGAGGATGTTGTGTTTTGGAGGCTGCGTCTCATTCAGGACAAGATGTATTGAGTATTAGCTTAGATTATGGGGGCCTAGGAGATGGCTTAGTCTGTACAGTACTTGATGTATAAAATGTAAGGACTTGAGTTCAGATCCTCAGTACCCATGTCAAGAGCTGGTTGCAGTGCTTGAGACCCGAGATCCCAATGTTTGGAATGCAGAGACAGAGAGAGCTTGAGGCCTCTCTTGCTGGCCTTCATGTATCCATTTGTTTGCATGTGCATGCATACAACCCACATTGCAACATTTCAACTAAGTATCTTATGGCTGGTTATTAGTAGTTTGTCTTAATTATTTATTACAGGAATGGTTTTGTTTTGTTCTGGGCATATAACCCTATAAAATCTAGGATTTTCTGTTTGTACTTCAAAGAACACCCTATGACATTTTTTTTATCTGAACTCTGATTGCTGGAATCACTGCACCAGTAGTAGAAGTACTCAGTTAATCTTCCATAATCAGCTGGAAATGACCCATTGGGACACCATAGAAACAGCTCTACCAAAGTAGTGCTTAGTCTTCACTGTACTCAGTGTCATGCCAGGAAGTCACAAAAACTAGCTTTTTTTTAACATAGTTCTAGTCTAGGAAAGTTCCTTTATGTTTGCTGAGCAAAGTGGCAAGAGATACTGCCCTTTTTGTTGTTTACTCACTGGCTGAATTTGTGTCCTCTGTAAGGATCATTCTTATTCATTCCAGTTTTGGAACTAGAAAAGGAATATTTAATAAGGCTGACACACACTTGCTGAAATAAGAATTTTTCTTCAGAATTTTTGGGGAAACCTATAAAAGGTTCTTTGTGCTCTGCTCCCTGCTTTCCCCTGCCTGAAAATATTTAGCTCCTTTCTCCAGATGTTTATTAGGCATATCTGACTGAAATCTGGTGGAATGCTAGAATAAGCTCCATGATGGTAAAGTTTTTTTTTTTTTCTTTTACTTTTTTCTTTTTCATTTTTTTGGTGGTGGTGGAGGGGTTCCAACTTGTGTTCCCAGCACCTGGAACTGAGTATATGAATGAATATACTGCAAGTTTATTTATGTTATAAATGAACGATGACAGGAATCAGAAAGCAAATTAAGAATGTTGATTGAAAATTTTATACTCAATTTAGTTAAGTGTACAGCTCAGTTGCTGAGTAAATGAATCAGTTCAAAACTATTAATAAAACATTTTCAAGAATACTGCTTTTTTTAAGTGAACGTGGAATTTTCTGTTTTCCATTGTTTTTTCCTTTGGTGCAAATAAGTTTATTACTGTCTAGATGTAATGCATTTTTCTTAAGGAATATACGATAAGCTCATTTTCACACAACTCAGACAGCTGTAAGGCCTACTGTAGGCCACACTAAATATTTTAAATCCTACAGTTACCTTATTTTAAAAGATATATTTGTCATATTTATCATCACCTGAACATGTAAATACTTAAGATGCTAAAGGAATTAGGTTTAGAATTTAAAAATTGTTTTTATTTTAATTTAACATTTACCAAGCGAATGTATTTTGTTCTATTTCACACAAAAAAGAAGTGATTGTTTTATGATTTGGTCTGTCTATATTTTTTAAATGGATTTGTTTCATTTTATCTTTGGTATGATTGTGAAATTGTTACTTGCTATTCAGCTTGATAAACATGTATTATAGCAGTATAAATCTCCTCTTGTTAACAACAGTCTTTAGAACCTAAATGCTAATTATTAATTAGAGATTGACACCTAACAATGTAAAATTATATAGGAATGTATAATTAATAGGGAAGAATCAAATAATGAGGGCAGTCAACACAGGAGCTACTTTATGTTTTGATTAGGAACTGTGAATTTAAGTACTCTTCGCTTTATAAATTTAAATTACGTGGTTGCTAAGAATAGAAACCTTTTTAGTAAAAGAGAAGGCATCAGGTCTGTGTGTGTGTTTGTGTGTGTGTGTTGAGATTTCTTATATCTACCCATATATGTGTGTGAAATATTTATATATGTATTTATCTTTTTTAGTCACTTTGATTATCAATCAAGTGATAGGCAGTAAGTAGGAGTATTAGTGTAAACTGTAAGTAAACAAAGACTGGCAGTATTTGCTGCGATAATGAAAGTTGAGCTCCAAGAATTTTGGAAAACATATCTACTGTCCTGAGCACTAAAGCCTCCCAGTAGTTTAAAAGGAGTTTGTTTGTTTTTTAAAAAATGAAATTGAATAGTGATAAGAAATATAAGTGTATGAAGTGTTTCAACTGTGAAAGTTGAACTGCTTAAATCAGTAAACCAATATCTGTATGATTAATGCATGATTTTTAAAATTGTGTTTAGTATACAGTTACTCAAGGTGCAATCTGAATAAACCCGTAGGGTATTTGAACCGTCTTCCCTTTTTCAGTTACCTACTTGACTTGTTGAATTTCCCCTTATATTTCAACTAGAACAATATATTTTAATAGATTGAATGTATTAACAGAAAAGTCCAGCTATTTGTATTGAAGAGATAGGTAGAAATGCTATAGAGTGAAGCTTTTCTTATTAAAGACCAGGTTTAACCATAAAATCCTGGTCTTTTCCTTTTGCCTTCCTAGTGGTAGGATTACATGCCACCATTCTGGCTCAGAAAATAGTTGTGTGTGTTTGTTTTTTAATGTATATATGTTTCGTTAAATGTAATGAGTTTGGTTTTTTGTTTGTTTGTTTGTTTTGAGTCAGGATCTTTGTAACCTTGGCTGTCCCAGAGTTCACTTTGTAGACCAGGTTGTTCTTGAAGTCACAGAGATCCAGATAACCCCTTGGTTCTTTTCTCTTCTGCTTTTTTTCCTTCCTCTCTTCCTTTCCACGTCCTTCTTCCCTTTCTCACTCACTCAGTCCATACTGCTGTCCTCAGTCTTGGTTTGTGGCCCTGGAGTGCTGAGAAAACAGGTATGAACTGCTATGGCTGTTTTGCCATAGTGCTGTCATGGCATTACCCCTGCTTTTTCAAATTTTTGTCCTATTTTGGTACATAGTTAGGAGCTCATATAAATCTAATAAATTATACATTTATCTATTATAAGTTCTGCCTTATTAGTACTATGTATTGTATTTCCTTCTAATGTAAGTTTGGTGTGTTTTGAGCTTCATTAACTCATTTTTTTTGTTTTTGTTTTTTTTTTTTCTTTTTTTTAATTTTGTGACTTGTTCACATGCATTGTGTGAAAGGTTATTTTTCTAGAGAGGAATTAAGGTTAAGATTTAACAAGGAAGTGCGCCTATAACAATCTCATATTCTGGAGGCTGAGGCAAGAAGATCAAGTTTGAGGCAAGCCTGGGCTATGTAGCAGTGAGACCCTGTCTTAAAAAGGAAAAAGAATTAACTTCTTCCACCCTTTTTGGAAAACAAAACCCCAGTATTATTGGTCATGAAAATCGAATGTGTATTTCAACTCGGCTTATGATGTGTTTTTCTCTGAAATTCATAAATACTAAGTGGGTGATTTACTAGGGCTTTCTAAAATGGTGGAAAACATCCTATAACAACCATCTGATAAAGTGAAAAACTGAACAAAATGTGTATTCATTCAGAGGAATGATTCTCTAAAGGAATAAGAGTGCAAGTGAATAGTCAAAGTATGGAATCATTAAAATCAAAGTGTTTGGGTTTTTATTGAATCTTAATTGTAAACTTACTTATTTGCTTTTGTGGGGAGCAGCCTTGCCAGGCCACAAAGGAAGATGATGCAGCCAGCCTTGATGAGACCTGATAAGCTAGGGTCAGATAGAAGGGGAGGAAGTCCTCCTCTATCAGGGGACTAGGGAAAAGGCATAGGGGTAGAAGGGGGAGGTGGGAATTGGAGGAGATGAGGGAAGGCGCTGCCAAGGGGATACAAAGTGAATAAATTGTAATAAATAAATATATAAATAATATTAAATTAAAAAAATTGGAGACCAGTGTTCTAAGATATGTTATAGCATAATTTATTTTTAATATAAAAGTTACTTCATTTTTTTGACATTAACATGTGTATTCTCTCCATGTAGGGGAATACATAAAAAATTGGAGGCCAAGATACTTCCTATTGAAGACAGATGGCTCATTCATAGGCTACAAAGAGAAACCTCAAGATGTGGACTTACCGTATCCCCTCAACAACTTTTCAGTGGCGAGTAAGTGGACAACAATTGGTAGTTCACCTTAGTTTCACTTGTTTGGCAAGTATGTTAATGTATCTGAGAAACCATTACAAAATTCCAAAGAAATGACCAACTCTGTAAGAAATTTCAGCTCATTAAGATAGGAATCTTATACAATGCAATACAGTTTACTGTTTTTATAAAGTTGAATATGATAAATATAATTACCCACCTGTGCAACTTAATTTTTTTTAATAAAGTATAAATAAACACTATGAACTTGGTTGTAAGATGTTACCCTACTAGCCAGGCATGGTGGCACACATCTTTAATCCTAGCTTATACTTACTGATACAATAAAAAGAACTTTATGTGTTAATCCAGAAGCAAAGCATTTTCAAGTTCTATGGTGTTAAAATAAAAATTTTAGTTAGATGACCTTCTTTACTCTGTATCTGTTAGATATGTTTGAAAAAGATGGGAGGAGAATTGAAGTTTATAATCATAATTAACAAAAAACCCTAGAAAGAAAACATTTTTTAAGTGTTATGAAATTCATTTTACCATGTAAGAACTTCAAACTTTATTTTTAGTTTTTAAAATAAAACTCAGAGTGTGGAATTACAACTAATTGAAGAAGGATACTATATTTTATTTTCCAAATTTTTTATCTAATTTTTTATGCAACATATTTTGCTCATGCTCTTATCCTTCTGAATAATTCTTTCAAATCTTCCTTAGAAACTAATTTTAAACCCTTGCATTAATATCGGTGATTTCTTACATAGAGAATTTTTTAACTTTTGAAATGAGAGCTCCATGTGCATATATATGTGTATATTTAAAAAAATAGCCTTTTCTCTGTTTATCAAATCATGTTCATTATATTTTAATGGCCCTGGTAAATAAGAAATTACTAAATCATTTTGGCAACTGGAATAGGCTATAGTGGGTTTTTAAATTGCTTTAAGATATATATTTCAGTCTAAAGGTATTTTAATTGAAAATTTGCTTATTAAAGTGATAGAAACTATCTTTTAAACAGTTGTCATGTCTCACCTGAAGCGTTCGTCCATTTAACCAGCAATTCTTTTGGCTTGTCTGAAATAATTTATAAAAGTACAGAAAAATGTATCTACTGATCAAAATGCAGCATTTTTTTGACCTTATGAAATTTCACACCCCAACAAGTTTTAAAGACATACTGTATGTCACAGTCTGCCAACATCTGCTCTAACACTTCCACTGGCAGAGGCTGAAATAAATGTGTACTTATGGAGAGAGATCCTATTTAGTGACTGACAGCTTCTTGACAAAATAAATAGCAATTGACATCTGTAAATTTCATGTGCATAACCAAGTACTTGCTGGTACTTGGTTGTCACAGGTAAAGTTGTATTTAAATCCCTAATATTCAGGGGTATTATTTTAGATATTAACATGACTCCATTTTTATTTATTTATTTTGGGTAAGCTTTATTATAACTTTAAATAATACCTTCACTGAAAGGACACTAGTGAAAGAAATGGTTCAGATTTCAACTTTGGCACAAGTGCAGAACATGACTGGGGCAGATCATGTTTTTAAACTCTGATCTTAACATTTCCATCATCAGAATACTGGTCATCCGTTTCCTGCTTCTTAAGGTAGAGTTTGAGTAAGTCCTGGAGGATTAAGCAGATATAGACGCTAATTCAAACTGAAGAAGAGGTGGAGTTATTATAGGCAGAGGATGATGATGCTTTTATCCAGGATCAATGGAAGAAACTTGCCCAGGTTTCTTTGGCTGGTAGGTAGTTCTCCACTTGCCTTGGTCACAAGTGAAATATTGTTTCTCAAAGAGGCTAGGAGATGACTTGGCAGTTAACAGCATGCTGACTGTGGTTTACAGCCATCTGTAACCCTGGTTCCAGCAGATCTAACACTCTCTTCTGGTCTCTGTGGTTACCTTCATGTATATGTCACACATATAGACAAGCAGATACACACAGGTGTACACAAATAAAAGTACATTTTAAAAATTAAAGAATTTAAATAGCCTTTTAAATGATTTTAAGTTTTTTCGAAGATATGATAATAAACCCCATTGATAGGTACGATTTGAGTTCTCCATTTTTCTGCCACTTAAAAATATGTCTTCACGGCTGGCTTGGAAGATGGCTTTTTTGGTTATCTGCTTTTGTGCTGATATAAGTATCTGTGATTGGCTGTCTGATGACCATGTAAAACAAGTGCAGCAGAGCATGCCTTTATCCCATGTCTCCAGTAGCCGAGAAAGGCTGGTTCATGGAACTCATGTCTTGGCCAGCCCGTCCTGATCTGTAAGTTCTAAGCTTAAGTGAAAGACCTCCTCAAAAAGTAGGGTAGAGAGTGGTTGAGGAAGGTAACACTCGACCTTCACACACATGTGTACATATAAGTACTAATATATATATATGTGGGGGGATATGCACATGAACATTTATACATGTATATGTACTTCCAATTTTATAGAAATAGGTTTTCTACTCATCTGAAAAAATTATGAGCCAAAATTAATTTTTCTAATATTCATTATATTTGGTTTTTATCTCTTCTTAATAACATTGACCAGGCTAAAGGTATGGCTTAGTGGTAGAATACGTGCTTAGCATACATAAGGCCTTGAGTTCAGTCCACAGTATCAGGAATAAAAATTCCCAAAGGCCCTTTGTTTTCACTGAATCCATTTCTTAACCACTATTGTCTAACTTCTTCCCTTGTCTATTTGATTGAAACCACTTTTGATGATTTCTCCAGTGGCCACCACATTTCTAATGTGGGGGGAAAAGTAAACAGTTTTTTTATGGCTAAGGACACTATAAAGAAAATAAGAAGAGACATATACCTTTGTTTTGTATTAATTTTATCTAGAGTTTGAAAACCAAGAATCAAAGACTTGTCTGTTTTGTGCAGAGTTTCAGTTTGTAGCCCTGGTTGGCTTGTAACTTGCCTTGTGTATTAGGCCTCAAAGTAACAGACCTTGCTTCAGTGTCCTCAGTGATGGAGTCAAGGCGTGTAAAGTAACAAAGAGGTGGATAATCATGGGGAAGTATGCGATATGGGCTGTAATGTAATGGCAGTAGGCTGGAGAGGACTGTGAAGGCCTGATTGTTGAAAACTTTGATTACTGTCTTCAGAGTCAAGGACATTTGTTCCAGGAATAGGAAGTGCACTTGTGAAAGGAGGAACTAAGATCTGTTCTAATGGAAAGTCAGGAAGTCTTTACTAGATTTATGAACTGGTTCAGGCAGAGCAGACAAGAGAAGGTTGAAAGTAGCCTTCTTGCTTTTATTTTTTTCCTCAAATTCTAAGGTAACATATTTGGCTAAAACTCATTATTAAGCTTAGACTTAATTTTCAATTTTAATTTGTTTTCTGGATTGATATCAAGGCTGCATTTAGAACATGATGCTGACCAAAATTTTTGGATGGGGTTTCCCTCTGTGCTGTAAGGTTTCTTTGTGTCCTTGTTGTCTCCTTTGCATAATATATAATTTGTTATTTAATAAACACCTGGCTAAGGACTGCACATTTGTACATTACACTTGGATTTATAGGACTACATTGTTCCTGAATTTCTAGTTACAAACTCTGCACCATATTCCTAGTTTTTTATGCATTCACACCAAGCTGCTTTCCTGAGATATATGCTGCCATATTAATTTTACTATAAGTTATTGCCATGCTAGAAAGCTTCTAGCCTTTACCTGTCCTAGGATGATCTCAAAACAGTTGTCTATTTTTTCCTTGTTACTCAGTATTTCAGTTCTGCCTCTGCTTGAGCAGAAACCTGGATCTATTCCCTATATTTTCTTTGACTTCACATCTTTACCACACTCTCAGTCCATTTCTAGTTCTGCTGACTTTATTCTTATGTTTTAACCTATTATGTATGACTTTAACTATTTTCCTGGAATGAATCACTCTTAATCTTTCATTCTTAACTAGATTCTCTGTCTCTAGTTTGTGCCACTCATCTTCCTTCACTTGTCTGTCAAAGTGATCTTTCTAAAATTACATCCTAACTATGCCATCTCCCCATGAAAACTCTGCCTTGGATCTTCATTGCCTACTGGATGGCATCCAGATTCCTTAATGTATCATACCAGGATCTCTTCAATCTGGCCTCTCCTTTCAACTCCTGCTTCATGTCTCTTGTGCTTTGCAATTCTGCTTTAGCAGTGTTGAGCTGTTTATAGCTCTCCAAAACCTTTGCTGCTTTTCTGCTCTTTGTCTTTGCTTTTGTTTGGAATGTCTTTATCTTTTGTTTGACTATATAATTTTCTTTTGTTTTTTTAATTCATATATAAACCTCTTTCCCCATTCACTCATTCAAAACTGTTTCTCTGCCTTTCTCATATTGCTGTGTGTGTGTGACATTGTTTTTTGGTTATCTTCATGAATAACTCTCATTTACTACTAGTCTGAGTTATTCTAGGTGAAGTAGTTTGATCTTATCTCCTAGTTTCTACGTATTATGACTTCAGTGGTTTTTCTTGAATATATGAGAACATACTGTGTAAATTTCTCCTTTTTAGATAAGAAAATGAAGCCTTTGGGGTCAGTGGTATTTAAATATCAGGATTAATACGATGTGACTCAAGGCTGAAGAGATGGCTCAGTATTTAAGAGTGCATACATACTGACCTGAGTTCAACTCCCAGCTTCTGTGGTGACTCTTACCTGCCTGTAATTCCAGCTCCAGGGAAATTGATATCTCTGGCCTCCATGAGTACCTGTACTCACTGGAATGTACTTGCCCCCCCCCCCATAATTAAAATAAAATGCATCTTTAAAGAAATCTTGTAATACTCTATCCTTTTTCCTCTCATTGTACTAGAAATAATTATGTTTTTCATTGTATTACACACATATACTTCATTGTGATAAAATGCCTTAAAAGAAGCAACCGAAGGCAGGAAGATTTATTTTGGATCATATCTTTGGAGGTTATCCTGAATGATAGATTGTTGTCGTTATTGTCTTTTTTTTGTTCTTTGAGTGCATAGTG